GCATGCCAAAACATCTCAAGGACCCCGAAAACACCTCAGACCCCAGAGGGTTAAGGCCAACATGCCGCACTAGTCTGGGTTCCTTTTAATAATGGAATAAACTCAGATAATCCACAACATAACAGCATGTCTACAAACAAACAATAACCGACAATGAACTCAGGACCATATAAGTATACAATGATAACTCAAATGCGAACAGCTGTTCACGGGAAACCTGAACAAAGACAATAGTAAATAATGACAAGCAAACTTAAAGTTCATGAAAATGAAAACTAAACTGACAACCCGTGACACTGCCAATGTTCAGCTGTGTTTTACTTCAGTGGTAGGAAAGGAAGCCCATGTCATGCGTGCAGAAATTGCAGTCCTTCTGGCAAAGAGTGCGGTAGAGCCTGTCTTCTCCAGCTGAGAAGAGGAAAGGGTTTAACAGCCTTTACTTCATCGTACCAGAAAAGGGCGGTGGGTTGCGGCCAATCTTAGATCTGCGAGATTTCCTCAGCGGCAGTTTCACCGCTCAGGTCGATGCATATGAGACCGCTTCAGCACTGGCTTAAGTCCCAAGATGGGCATGTCGCTATGGTACACATCACGTGGCTATCAAGCTTATCTGCCACCGCACATTCAGCTCTTGGACAGACATATTTCTATGGGCTGGGGTTCCCTTATAAGAAGTGTCAAAGTGTGTTTTTGTTACAACAGATGCATCCAACATAGGCTGGGGTGCTGAATCCAATGGGCATGTAGCCTTGGGATCCTGGACAGGACCCCGACTGTGTTGGCACATAGACTGCCTCAAGTTGTTGGAAGTACTGCTGGCGTTCCTCCACTAAGCACGTGTTGGTCCGGACGGAGAGCAAGTCTTGCTGGTGGCGCCGTACTCACGCTCCTCATGACAGCCCCTACTTTGTGAATTCCCCTTAGGAAGGACCTTCTTTCTCAGGGGTAGGGCACAATTTGGCACCAACGCCCAGACCTCTAGAACCTCCAAGTCTGGCCCTGGCCCTGCTTTTCTTCCAGCAGGAAAGCACCGTTCTAAGGTGCACTGCACTAAGGTGACACAGTGGATGGTAAGTCCTTAGGGAAGCACAACCTCATCATCAGGTTCCTTAGAGGTGCCAGGAGGTTAAATCATCCAGGTCTGTGCCTTATTCCTTCTTAGGACCTCTCTGTAGTGTTGCTGGGCCTATAGAGAGCCCTGTTTGAGCCCCTGGGGTCAATTGAGCTTAGTGCCCTCTTGTTGAAGAGGGCCCTCCTGAACACGCCCACATCCATCAAGAGGGTTGGGGACCTGCAAGCATTCTCTGTTAGCGAAACGTGCCTTCGGTTAAGTCTGGCATAATCACGTGATCCCGAGACCCCGACTGGACTCACATGATCCCGAGACCCCGACTGGGTTATGTGCCCAAAGTTCCCACAACCCCTTTTTGGGATCAGGTGGTGAACTTGCAAGCACTTATCTTTGCTGTGTCCAGTGAGTGCTCTTTGCAATTACCTGGACTGCACAGAGAGCTTCAGATGCTCTGAGCAGCTTTTTGTCTGTTTTGGGGGACAGCAGAAGGGGAAGGCTATCTCCAAATAGAGGATTGTGGATGCCGTTTTTCTGGCATAGCAAACACAGTGTGTGCCGTGCCCCCCGGGAGAGCGAGCACACTCCAATAGGAGTGTTGTATCATCTGGGGCACTAGTGAACGGTACCTTTGCAAGATTTTACAATCTCTGGGTTTAGCCAGTTTCGTCCCAAGTATTATCAGACACGTATAGGTAAACTTTGGACAACTGGTTCAGTGTATCGCTTGCGCCTGTCCCCTCCTTGAGGTGATATCGATGTGGGTTCCCCATGGTTCCCTTTTTAGGTGAGCTCTTGTTCTTGGGTTGGGTGCTCCATATTTATGGATTACCTGATGGTAATCCCATATGATGTATTTCCACTGTTCAGTTTCCCGGTTGGTAAACCCACACCACAGAGACTTCTTTCCACATGTGGTACCTCCCTTGTGGTCTCCACAGTGTCCTTTTTTTCTGCATAGGGAAAAAAGTCACTTTCAGCTGCATTTCGACCTTCCACCCCTCTGGCTTGGCCAGGCTCCTCCTTCCCCCCGGTTCCACCATCATCCTCACTCCCACAGGCGCCGGCTCCGTTTCGGCTCTTCGGGCCTACAGTGTCACCATGAGTCTTCGTTTCCTAGCCTCGGCCTGGGTCCACACCTCTCCCAGCTCCACCTTAGTTGGACAGGTTCCTGTCTCCACCCTGGCTTCTCCCTCCATTGGTTTCACCATGGGCCTTCATCCTGGTGACTCTGCTCTGGGTCGCTACCTGGCTCCTTCCTCCCTGGCTTCTCCCTCTATTGTCGATTCCCTGGCTCCTTCCTCCAGCGTCTCCTTAGAGTTTTTTCATTCCTCCACTAAGGTGTGGTTTCTATTTACTGCACAAGGATGAACCATCCGGCAGAGGGGAGTAATGTTAGATTTTCATTCTGTTCTGTGGACTGTTTATTTGCTTTCTACTTCCATTTAGTTATTGTATTTCTTTTCTGTGTCCGAAATCGAATACTACTCTACTATATAGTATGTAAAAAATAGTACACCAAAAGAGTAGTATGTTCAAATACATAGTACTCGAAATACAGTAGGCGAAAAGTACCTAGATGACCTACTACTTCTACAGAGATTCTGAAGTATGCATTCCATGGACACTTTACTATTACATGAGCCCACGGGAGAGGATTTGTGAATGGCGAAGCGACACAATTGATGCTGTAGGTCACATGACAGTGACAACATGGCATATGTAGTGCATCCGAATTTCATTCATACAACACATATTCATACTATATAAAACAGTGGTTCCCAACTCTGGTCCTGGAGTACCCCAAACTCTGCACATTTTGCATGTCTCCCTAATCAAACACACCAGATTCAACTCATCAGCTAGTTAGTAGAGACTTCAAGACCTGGAATGGTTATGTCAGATTAAAGAGCCATCTAAAATGTGTATTGTTGGGGGTACTCCAGGACCAGGGATGGGAACCACTGATAGAAAATACTTTTTTAACAGTCACAAAGTAAGTTTCAAATAAAATTTAGTACCTACTATACAGTATGCTATTTTAAGCTCAGTGTAGGTCAATATAATATATGTTGGCTTTTACAACTTAATTTCACCATAATAAAATAAAATACATAATCATTTCGGTTATGTGCTGACAACCAAAAACTAAATAAAACCCACAATAATGTATGCAGTCAGTAAAGCTAGCTAGTATGTGTTCTGCACATCAACAATATTTAAAATACTATATAAAAATATAATTGTGTTGTTTGCTTTTAGCCAAATAGAATAAATCAGGTTTAAACTGGAAATGATTTTCGATTAGATCAACATAAAAATGCACTTTAAATAAATGACATGGTTGTTTTACATTTCGTCATATTGCACTTTAGTGCATTACTAACAACTATACATATGTGGGAGGAGACTGGCCAGCAATGAGTTTCAGGTGTGGGTAGCTAGTCATATGACCAAGAAAGCATAAATAATTGTTGCAGAAACAGATAGTGAGATTGGCATGTTTCTGAAGTTATGCTCGACGTGCAGCCTCTTCGCCCTTTCATATAGGTATGTGGAGTTATTAGTTGTGTGATTTGTTTGTGTTGAATGAGTGCGTTTTAATAGCGCAATTCCATTCTTATTTGATCCCTTTTTTCCTATAGGCTGATTTATTAACAGGTTTTACTTTCTGTCTTGGAAGCTGGGCAGACAAATATTTATTGCTGCGGTACCTTCTATGGGCTGGCGGCCGTGTAGGAGTGTGAACAACCGGTAAATGCAGTATACCTTTTATTGAGGCCGATGGGTTATGAGTTTGAGTCTGCAGTTGTACTTTCGCAAAAAAGTAGGTTTTGTTTTCTTTTATTGCAGGTTGTGTTAACATGTATTAACGTGTATGGCTTTTTTCCTTGTTAAAGGGGCAGACCAGTCACTGTCTCTTGTGTATTTAAGTTTTCTTTTGTGGTTTCTTTTTTTCTTTACTTAATTCTATATTGATGTTTAATTTGACCCTATAAAATATTGTTTGTCATTTGCTTTTGTTTGTGTGGTACTGCTCTCCTTGTTTTTTGTGTTACAGTGCCTAATGGATTTGTACAGGGACGAAAAGCCTGCATCCACACTTAACCTCCCCTGGTGTAGGTGATTTGGGTGGCGTGGCACTGCTGTGAGGTGTTTATTAGAAGGTTGGCACTGTAATGGTGATTAATGGTTGCTACTTGTTTGCGGTGAATCCTTTGGGTTTTTCTTCTGGTTTCTATTCTCAGGTGGCAGGAGGCGGATGAGAGCAGGCCCGACCCTTGAGGAGAGCTATTTCCTACTTTTACGGATATTATTACTGACACATGTTTTAGTTGGCCGTTATTCTTTGATGGTCTTTGTTGGAACAATAAAATTGTAATATTTTTAGAAACTACGTTTGATGCTTATCAAGTGATCTGTAGAGGGCTCCTCCTCCCTTAAATAAGGAGGTCACACAGTCAGTTAATATTTCCTACACTACACAGAAAATATAGCAAGAATGAGTATTGAATAGTTAGCTTAGCAACATGCTATTGTCAGAATAAACACTAGGTAAGCATACTGTGTGACAGGCTGCTTGGTCAAGTCTCATATACTGAGTGACATTTTGATTGTCTAAAGTCATTACTCATTACTCAACCCCTAATTCAGTTAGGGTTGAGTCAGCTCATTAGGTTTTCAAGAAGCTTTTCATTGTAAATGTTAGCATTGGTGTCTTAGTAGAATACTTATACGCAGCTGAAACACTCCAAGGTCATCTGTTTCATTACATCATTACATTACATCAAAAAACTTCATGCATCTTTTATTACATCATAAAAATTTAACAAATGTACAGAACAGTATTCGCGGTTAATTTTGTAAATTATACTTCTGTTGGACTATGTTTCAGCACTAATGAATCACTTAATGACTTGGAAAAACTCACCAGAAATTGACCAGGAACGGGTGCTCTAGGTTCTGCATTATCTGGAGCTCTTTGAAGACATTGCGCACCTCATTGCGCTCCACACACTGAAGTTTGTTCATATACTTCATGGCGTACATTTTCTTTGTGTCCTTTTTCTGAACGATGCATACCTGGAAAAAAAATTTAAGTGGTCTTTATTGAAAAAATGTAAAAATTTGATTACATCAATCACAGTGCTTCATGCAGAGCTCTTTTGGTACAATTTGCTAGGCAATTACTCTGATTGGTGGAGTTTCCTGTACATCATCATAGGTAATGCCATTTTTCACCACAAATTCTGCTGTCTAACACGATTTGCTGAAATATTGAAAACAGATGGCAATAACAAGAGCATATGCCACTGATTTAAATGTTTATTTTTAAATTACTTTTAAATGTTCATATACGTTATCATTAAAAATCCCCTTTTTTTTCAATTTCCCTATGCAGAAAACAATGTTTTTACTTTTGGAACCAGACTGCTGCACTCTACTGGAGAGTCAACATAGATAGAAACTCAAAATAAATTTAACCGTATTGAATATTGCGCAATAATAGACAATTGGCTTGCCATACTATGGAGTCAATATAGTAGTAATTAACCGTCTTGAAGCCAACTGGAGCACTTTTTCTTGAGTTAATTGAATTCTCTAAATTAGGTCTTAATCTACAGTATTAATGTTTCAAGCACAATCAATGAAGATCACTGACAATTCACTTTGGCCTCAGTACAATGAGCTTCATTTGTTTTGATTATTGGTTTGTTTGTATAAGTAAATATATAGCAAAACTTACTTTCCCAAAACTGCCTTTACCAATGGCTCTCAAGATCTGAAAGTGCTCAAAATTGACTGTGGAGAGACAAAAATGTAATGTAACAGTTAGTGCATTGCAAGATACAATGATTTTCTTTGTTTTGTGGAACACAGAACACACTAATATTTGTCCATACATTGAAAATCAATGGGGTCCATACATTTCAAGCTCCAAAAAGCACATATAGTATAACAATAATAGTATGTTGACTTTGTCCAGCCAACACAGTAAACACTGTAGCAGATGGGAGGAACAGAACAGATTCAACCAATCCCCCCCATCCCCCCCACCCCCACCTCAAGGACAATTACTCTGCTGAATTGTAAATAAAACAAGCTGTCAGCAAATGTAATTTTTTTTTATGAAGTTGCCCATCTGATTTAAACAGTTATGCAGTCCGACTCAAAGGATAATCTCTCTCACCTCATCTAATGCATCCAAACTCATCATCTGACCTGTGAATGAACCTTGCCCATCTCTCTTCTCTCAAAGCTCGTCTATCTGAAACTGCAGTCTAATATATGCTGTCAGCAGCAATTACAGTTTGATGGTCACTACTCGATAGACACTAGTCTGTTGGTTGAGGACCAGCAATTATATTTTTTAAATGAGAAGTCTGTCTCTGCCTCAGACAGCATGCTCACAGTTTCACAGTATACTACTGTATATATACTGTATATATATATTTCTCAAGTATATGACAAACTTCTGGCACACCTTAATTAATATGTAACTTTCAAGATCCAGTGAGTGCCAAATACATTTTTTTCCAGAATGCTCCAATTTACCCCAAAGTCTTGAAAATAGAGTCAAACAAGGATGAAGAAATAAAGACATTGAGGTACTGTATGACATAAGGGTGGGTCATTTTTATTTTTCAGTACTGTATGACTATGTTTACAGTGTACTTACCCAACTATGATTGGATTTTAGGCTTAGGATTTGGGTTAATAGCAATTACCCAGTTATTGACGTTACTATAGTAAGTTTATAATATGTACATGCAGAACTGGACTGTAAAATTAAGTGTTTTTTGGAGAACTGCAGTATCCCTTTAAGGCATATCCTTCAGAGGACCTTAACCCTGTGTGTGTAGTAAATTCAATGTACGTGTAATTCATAGAAGTTGCCCAGTTACACCAACTTCAAGCCAATGGAAACAAAACTGAATGATTATTATTATTACTTTCTAGGCCTTTACTATGGTTCCTATTGGTATCTTGCTTCTTATACTGTGGGGGATTATCTAAAAATCTATATTATTTATAAAAATAATGGAAAGTGGAAAGGATTTTAGAAATGTTTTTAGAAATACACTGAACAATAACATTAAAACCAACCTGGTCCAATCACACAGAGAAGCTACTGTAGCTCAAATTGCTGAAAGGCTTAATGCTGCCCATGATAGAAAGGTTTCAGATAAAATCCACCTTTGTTCATGACCACTCCTCAAGCCCTTATTTGGCCCACTTTGATATTATACCAAGGTATTCTGCGTTAGGGTATTGGCCGTTGACCCAGATGAAGCCCCTGAAAGTGACAGGGATGGTTTGAGGAACAAGACAAAGAGTTAAAAGTCTTGACTTGGCCTACATACTCCCCAGATCTCAGTCCAATTGAGCATCTATGGGATGTGGTGGACCAACAAATCTGATTCATGGACCCCATCTCACAACATGCAGAACTTAAAGGATCTGCTGCTATGTCTTGGTCCCAGAGACCACAGATGTCTCAGGGCTGTTTTGGCGGCATGAGGGGGACCTACACAATATTAGGCAGGCGCTTTTAATGTTGTGGCTGATAAGTATCTGATTGTGTTATATCTGAAAGGAACAAAAAATATGAAGCAATATAAAGAGGTTTATTAAAAGTTTGCTTCCTTCTGTTGGGAGTGGGACATAAACAATTTTCCTTTTTTACCTTTAATGTTTATTTAATCTATATGAAGTATTGAATTATGGTTTGAGGAAAGGTCGTTTTGTGATTATAAATTTCATAGTTTTAATAAAATAACGAGAAAATCTAATGAAATGGTACTTTTAATATGGTATTTTTGTAAAAAAAAAAACAACATTTACAATACTCGTGATAAACTTTAAAGTTTAAAAATAGAGCTACTTTAAAAATAAAAGGTACATTTGAGGGACTTGTTTTGTCCCATGTCTCAAGAGCCATTGAGTGAACTATTGAGTGTGGGCAAACGATCTAGGACAGCCACTTAGAGAACGCTGACACCCTTTTTCACAGAGACATCCAGAGGGGTCATAAGCTTGTCCTAAATAGTAAATGCCCCATCTATAAGAGGAAATTCTTACCACAAAGTGAATAACAATTTAAAAAAAAGCTAAACATGCTCTACTTTAACTTTCAAGGCATACAAAAAAATCGCAATTGCAGGGAAGTGCAGGAAATTTGTTTCTGTCTATCAGTACTGTTTGACTATAAGTGGTGCTTGCATTTTGTTTTGTATTGTTTTAACTGTGAAAACTAAACAGATCTGTGTCGGATTGACATACATATATCATGACAACTATCCGAAGATTACTTTAGCATGCATTTGGTCAAGGCGAAATATCTATTAAGCCGCAGCTAATATTGCTGCTGCTGTTTAATATTGCTGTTGTTGTAGATTGCTGCTGCTACAGAGCAAGTGCAGGAACTTGCTACTGCCAATACATACGGCGATACGCTGCAGTGAGCATGTAAGACATACTACTGCTGCACAAAAAGCATATATAAAATTACAAAGCTGGATACGAGAATATGAATAATACAAGCCAAAATGTTTACGCTGCATGAAAACACACTGCTGCTATACGATAATATGCTTGAAATGACCCCCATCAAAGTAGGAGACGAATCGGCCAGTTGGCTCTGACTTGGCTCCTCACACCTTCAGCTCCACCTGGGACCGTCGTCCTCATGGCTCCACCGGGCTCCCTCGTCTCTCTGGGTCCGCCTTGGTCTAGTCTCGCGTAGCCAGACCTTCAGACTGACGGCTGAAGGTCTGGAACTCATTGCAGCTTTCTTTGGCCAAGGCCCGCCCATAAGGCCGTTTGACCGACATGTCAAACAACCAATTACAGTTCGTTTCGTTCAGCGTCACGTGGAAATGTCCCCACAACAACAGACCGGCGTGCAACAAGTCAGTCAGCACAGAAAATCAGAGGAGGAGAAGAAAACCGAACACAATACTGAATCGGCCAGCTGCGATGTCAGCGTCTGTTGTTTCATGTTTGCCCGCAAACGCGGCTGATATCCCCTTCACAGTTAGGTATTTCACTTGATCTTCCATAATAGATCATAGCTGTCAACATTGAACATTGAATATAAGGGAGATTTCCCGGAATCCATCCCCAAAATAAGGGAATTTTTCTTACCCACCACAAACTAAAAATAAAGCACTAATCATTAAAAGTCTAAAGAGTTTATAACTAAAGATGAGTGAGAGAGAAAGAGACAGTGTGTGTGTGTATTAGAGAAAGTGTGTCATTTTTTATCAGAGAATGTTTAAATACTAATATCAGTTTACGAGGGAAACGGTACGTGGTGCTTCGGGGGCTGCTGGAGATGATTAGGGAGAGGTCTGTGCTCCTTTACCGATCAAAGCGCACGCTGACACGGAGTATAATTGTTTATACTTGACGCGTCCGCACGAGCGCGGCAAAGATTACGCGTTGGGTGCGCAAGACCGGCAAGACCCCATTTCGCTTGGCTGTGTGCACAGCTTTTTTTGTAACAGCGCGCGCGGCGCCGCATCCGAGGATGAACGACTTCAAGCCGAATCTGCCCGAGCATGTACGTCTCACACAATCAGAGCGTAAAAATACGGGATATTTTACGGGAAAATAATAAAACGGGAAGACAGCGGGAAAAGAGCTAAAATACGTGAGAAACCCGGAAAAACGGGAGGGTTGACAGCTATGTAATAGATAGGAGGGGACACACAACTAGTAAAGTTGGATCTGCTGGGAATCCTTATAAATGCTGACAAAGGGTCGGCCAGGCTTGGAAAATAATACTCTTCCCAAATCCCGTCGGCAAACAGGCTAAAATATTTCTTTTTGTCTCCACTAAGTGCCTCAAACAAAACTCCTGGACATCTCTTAAAGAGTCTACGCCGTGAACCTCGCATACTTTTGAGAATCCTACGTTTAGCTGATCTTGATAAATGCTCATTGTCACTCATGTAAACACAACAGTTTTTCTTCCGCAATCACACGTCTGCGCTTTGTTTCCCGGCAGACCGAAAATAAACGCGACACTCGCACCCCCCGGAAATCCGATCAAATTCAAACAATCAGATGACGACTTCGACATTCCTGAAGTGTTTCCAGTTAAGTGTACCATATGCATCAGACGTTTAGCCAACGTTCCGTGGGCGTGACGTCTGAGGCTGAGACTAGCCTTGGTCAGTCGTTGCTCTGCCTGCACCATGGACTTCCAGGCCTTCAGCTGCGCTTCGTCCCTCCAGCCCTTCGGCTCCATCTGGCTCCTCCTACCCTCTTGCTGTGCCCTGGTCCTCAGTCGCACCGCCTTCGTCTCATTCCTCTGTTGCCCCGGCTCCACCCTGCTCTCCAGGTCACTGATGTCGCCCGTCCTGTCAGCTCTTCAGCTCCGCCTGGGTTTCCACCACCGTGAAGTCTCAGTCTCGGTCACTCATCGCCTTGGAGAAGCCTGCCAACCCTCATCATGGCTCCTTTCTCCATCATCTCTGCCGTGGGCCTGCACCCTGGCCCTTCTGCTGGGGGTTCCACACTGGATCCTTCTGCCTGCCTCTCTGCCTTGGCTCCTTCCTCCATCTTCTCCGCTGATGATCCTGCTGTTGGTTGCTCCCTGTGGACGCCGCCACCTCGGGGGGAGCTGTAGTGGTTGCAGTCAACTCGGGAGGAGATGCAGCGAACGGCGCCAAACAAACAAAATCAACCAAACACAGGAAAACCAGGAAGCAGGACTGAGACCAACGACACCGACATCCACCAAAGGAAAAGACCAGACAATGAACAGGAGTACAAGGACTTATATACACACAGGG